TGGATTTACCCATTCTTTCACCTTCACCCAATCCTTTGTCCCCCCACCAATCTGTTTCCTTTGCTTTGGCAGACTTGGTGTTTTGGAAGCCTCTTGCTGCTGCTGCTCCGGATCCTTGACTTCAGCATCAGCTGCAATATCCTCATTACTTCCTTCATCAGTACCGCTTGCCGTTGGCGCAGTGACTTCGATGTCCTCAGGTTCGGACACATCGAAGTGCATAGTGATCTCTTCCAGCTGCTGAGTGACCCTTGCCTCCGGCTGCTTCTCCCACTTGCCATACATTCGATCATCAGCGCTCGCGCAGTTTCCAGGATGGTCCTATTAGCCCTCTCAGCAACGCCATTTGACTGAGGGGTATAGGACGTCGTTAGCTGATGCTCAATGCCTTGCTTCTTGAGCCACGCAGTCAGATCTCCTCCTAGAAAATCTCCACCTCGGTCGGTTCTGATGCTCTTGCATGGGTGCCCAGATTGTCGCTCGACGAACGGCAGCCAGTCATCTCGTATTGTTGAGGCAGCATGATCCTTCTGCTTCAACGGGTATGCCCACATCAGCCGACTCCAGTCATCCACTATTGTTAGGAAGTATCTTTCCCCCTTTCTTCCTTGAACTAGAAAAGGTCCTATCCATGTTGGCATCTTCATGTGGTTGCTTTCCCCCATTCCCCTTTTGCGATTGGTTCCAAGGGGTCCACCAGTCGGGCTTGGTAGAGCAGCGAAACCATGGATGCCCTTCTTCCTTGCAATACCAGCACTCTCCCCTCAAGCGTGGTTCACTGTTGGCGTTGTTGGAGTGACCACCTCTTCCTTTTGCACCAACGCCACCACGCCCCCGCTGGTTCCAAGTCCCGCAACCACCTTGGTTGTAGTAAGAGCGACCGCGATTGCCACGCCCTCGATCTCTCCATGTCCCTTGCATGGCATAGCCGCTGGTGCTATCATCACCTCCGCGCAGTGTATAGCGACGAAAATCTTCTTCCAGAACCTTGGTGCGAATCCACTCCAATGTCCATTGACTTTGGTTTTGTGGCAAGCTGAGTCCGCTTATAAATTGCAGCCAAGACTCGGGCAGCAGGCTGAGCATCTTGAGACACTTAGTCTGCTCGGGAGGATGAGAGGACGAGATGCGGTGGCGACCGATGCTGTTGCAGCAATCGCCAATTTCGCGTAGAGTTCCCTCATCTTGTCCAGTACGGGCTGCACAGGTTCATTCTCGCTCAACCGCAGCATGGACAGCTCCCAATCCAGCATGAGAGAAGCGGCAACCGATGTCGGAGCGTGCAGGTCCTTGAGCACTGCCCATGCCTTGGGCCCACAATCAGTTTCCGGTAGCAGATGCATGATGTGATGCCTCTGGTTCATCTCCAAGCTTTGTGACAGTAGATAATACCCAGCAGATGAACGTTCATCCCAGTCCGCTTGCTCTGTCATTTCCTTTGGCCTGGGCTCCGTTCCAATCATGAGCTTCAAGAGGCCAATTTGTCGAAAGTAGAGCTGCACCTTCCATGCCCAATCATCATAGCCATCTCCAGAGAACTTCTCAATGGTGAAGTTCTTCAGCACCTCCTTAAGCAGTGACCCCTGGCTTGTCCGCGCTCCCCTTTGCGCTGCAATGCCAGAATCTTGGGTTGAGCTGCCTCCTTGGACTGAAGTATCATCTCCACTACAGTCCTCCTTATCTCCCATCGTATTTTAGGTCCCAAATGTGTGATAATGGGCTTTGATACCACTTGTTGGTTAGAGAAGGCTATAAGCAGATGATTCAATGACTCCTTGGAAATTTCTGCAGCACTTCGTTATGATGCCCAGAAAACTCGCGACCTTCGAAAAGCTATATCCAAAACTCCAATCGGTGAAACGATCTGAAAATCGGATATGTTGTAGCTTGACGCGTCAGCTTTCCAATGAAAGTTAAATCACTCGATTCCGTAACTTAACGAGTGAGCTATGGCGTTTGGCGCACTGGGGGGTAATCTGCCCTAGGAGAAGTTGACAGTCCTCAGAGTCACTATCATTGAAGCTTACAAGTTCAGAGGCATGATGGAAAAGGCATTGAAGCACAATTGGAAGGTGGGGTAGGAAGGGAAGGATGAAAGGGGAGGACCCTGGAGGCCCATGGTCAAGAACATGACAAGAGTCAAAGTCTTGACTCCCCACCCTCAGGTTCAGCCAGCCTGGCAAGACAAAATTCACACTGTACCAGGTTGGCCTCCAAACCCCAAATGCTGTAGCTGCAAGGTGGGGACAAAAGTCCCACACATGCTGGTCCCACACATGCTGGTGTAGCAGCTGCCAAGGACTTCCAATGAGTTGTAACAAATCCATCAAACACTTCTTCATAACTTCTTTATATGTGCTCCGATTCCAACAATTCTTGGCTCGTTGAAATGTGCTCGATGTCATGCACAATCCAAGCACATCTGCACAAGCACAAGATGAACATTCAAAGACATGCAAACCCAACAAACCATACAAACAATGTAGCACACAAGACGCATGCAACGAAATGATGCGAACAGACGACACGATGACGTGCAAACGAATATGCACCAAAAGTGTATATTGTGTTTACATCCTTAGTAGGGTGTACACCTGTGTTGGGGTGTCAATCCAACCCAATTGTGGTTGGAGCCCCCAAACACAAGGACCACAATTGTGGGGGCACCACAAGTGGGTTGCCTAAGCCACTTGTGGTCCACCATACTTGGACCACCTCCCACTTGTGGTCAACCACATTTGGAAGGATCCTCCCTCCCTTTATGATTGGTCCTAACCCCCCCCTTCCCTTCCAACCTTCGCTTCCTAGCTCATCTCTCTCTTCCTATGTAATGCCTTTGCTTGATCAATAAACTTAACATTTCTGTTTCTAATATGGTATAGAGCAATAATGGCTCACGCCAACTTTTAATCCCGATCCTTCCCCACGCTTCTGCCCCATCCCCTTCCGACCTGCATCTCTTTGCCGTCCCCTCCATCGCCGCTGCTAGACTCCTAGCCGCCGCCTCTCCTTCCCTTCACAACAAGTTTTCTGTTGGGTGGATTTTCAAATATCCCCAGTGCGCCAAACGCCATAGCTCACTCGTCTGTTGACAGAATTGAGTGATTTAACTTGCAAAAGAACGCTCTTAGTGTCAGCTACAAGGTCGTAAAATTTCAGACTGTTTCACAGCTTGGATTGTTGGATATCGCTTTCCGAAGTTCGCTCACTTTCCTGGATGTGATCACGAAGTGCTACTGAAATTTCCACCAAGTCCTACTTTCATCAGCTAACTGCCATCTTTCCCCATCAGCTAACTGCCATCAGCTAGCAGCAGCAGCACCAGAAAGAGCAGCAGACGCAGCAGCAGCAGCAGCAGCAGCAGCAACAACAGCAGCAGCAGCAGCAGCAACAACAGCAGTAGCAGCAGCAGAAGAAGGAGCAGCAGCAGCAGCAGCAGCAGCAGCGGCAGCAGCAGCAGGAGCAGCAGCAATAGTGGGAGCAGCAGCAGTAGCTACAGGCATCCCCATCGTCCCCTCCTCTTTGAGCCGCCGCGGGTCCACCCGCCGCCGCTCCCTCCCGGCCACCGCGGGTCCACCCGCCGTCGCCTTCCTCCCACTCCGTGTCACCAATGGAATCCTTTCCCCCTCCCGTCGACGTCTCGACCCTCGATCATCTCGTGCGCGCTGCCGACAACTCAGCAACCAACTGGTATTCCTTTGTCGGCAGCCTCCACCGCATCCTCGGCAGTGCATATGTCTTGCCGTTCCGCCTCCTGGACATCATGCTTGGTCTCCCAGAGGGTGACCTTGGGGACCCCCCACCTCACCCTGGCGATCCCCCCCCTCTCATTCCCCATCCCGGCGAGGAACCTCTGCCCCCCGTGGTACCCGTTGGCACCAGCACTCGCGCTGCCACCGCTGAAGTTGAGCAGCTCTTTGTTACTCAGCGTCGTGAGTTCCTCGTGCTCCATACTGATTACCTAATCGCTTTGGAGGAACACGAGCGGTCGGCCACCCTCCGCAACCAGCATGCCGCTACCGCCGCCGCTTATGCCGCTGACTCTGCGCGATTTGCCGAGCGTCGTCGCGCTTGGCTCGAGGCGGACAGCCGTGCTACTGGTGCCCTTCTCCTTGCCATCCCGCCTGCGCTCATGCGCAACTTCCAGGCACGTCGCATCGGCTCCCTCCAGATCTGGCTCGAGCTTGAGGCGATGTTCGAACGCACCGACTTCGACGCTGTCGGACCGCTCTTCAAGGAAAACTTCAGCATCACGATTGAAAATAGTGCTGGCGCCATTGACTACACCAGCCATCTCCTGGACCTTGCCTCCCGCCTAGAGGCTTGCCAGACTACTCTCCCCTCCAACCTCCAGATCTACCGTCTCCTCGAAGGCCTCTCCCCTCAGTATGAAGTGCGCGTCATCGCCTTCACTGAGGCTCAGCCCCGTGCCTCCCTTGACACTGTGGTCCAGTAGATCATTGACGCTGAGGCCCGCCTTCTCTCAACCCCCCCCTCCGGCTTGAACTCCACCGAGTCCCCAAACCCCCAGCTTGCAGTTGCACAGCCGCGTTGTGGAGGGCGCCCACGTGGCGGCCGCACCAACCCTCAGGGAGGGGGTGGAGGTGGCGGTTGTGGGGGCAACGGAGCCGGCGACGGTGGTGGCGGGGTCGAGGGTGGCAGCAGTGGTGGTGGTGGTGGCAGTGGTGGCTCATCTGGTAGCCGTGGTGGCCGCCCTGGCACTCTCCCCCCATGTTCCTATCTTCGCCGTTTTGGTCCCAGGGCGGGTGAGCGCTGCACCCAAACCAACCATCCCCCAACGACCTGCTTCAAAGCGTATGATGACGCCTGGTTCGAGCGCGGCAACACTGGCACACCCCCACGCTGGTCTGCCATGGATCCCCGCCCCTCTCTCCAGGATGTCAAAACTCTTCCGTCTTTCCTCCCCTCTCATCTTCAGCTCGCCTCCTCCTCCTCCTCTATCGCTGACCCCATAACTCCCCAGGAGCTACAGCAGTTTCGCCGCTTCCAGCAGCAGCAGCAGTGGGGCTCTGGTGGTCCGCCTCCTTCATCGCCTCCCACTTTGCCCTCGCTCTCGTCAGTACATCCTCAGCACACCGCGCCCCTCCTCATGCCACGTGACCACTTGTGCAGGCACCTCCACTCTCCCCTCTCCCCTCCCTCTAGAGCCACCTTCCTCCAGCTCCACCTCCCCCCCATGCTCTTGTCGCGCACTGTCCCACCCCGCTGTTCTCATCCACCATCGCCTTGGTCATATGAACTTTTCCACACTTCGTAAAGCCGTCTCCTCCCGCTTGCTTGACGGTCTTCCCCCCACACTTCCTCCCCTCCCGTCCTCTTCCGCTCTCCCATGCGCCACATGCATTCATGGAAAGCTCAAACAACAACCTCACCTCAGTTATCCTTCCTTTGCTGCTGCCTCCCTTGACCTCGTCCACATGGACCTCTGGGGCCCTAACCCTTCCCCTTCCCGCCAAGGGCACCGGTACATGCTTGTCCTAGTCGACGACCACAGCAGGTACTCCTCGGTGTTCCTTCTCCACACAAAGGCCGAGGCCCCTGCTGTCATCGTTACCTGGGCCGAGCAGTGCCGTGTCCACTTTAGTCGCCCCATCCGCAGCCTCCATTCCGACGGCGGTGGTGAGTTTCTCAACCGCACCCTCTCCTCCTACTGCTCAACCCATGGCATCCAGCAGACTCATACCCTTCCCCACTCCCCTCAGCAGAACGGTGTTGCTGAGAGTCGCATTCGTGAGATCACCAAGACGGCTCGCTGCCTCCTCACTCATGCCTCCACGCCCCCTTCTCTTTGGGGCTATGCCCTTGTCCATGTTGCTCTCCTCACTAATCTTTACCCACATCCTCAACGCCAGTCCGTCACTCCCACAGAGCTCTAGGCTAGCACCAAGCCAGATGCTGCCATTCTCCATATCTGGGGTTGCAAGGCATATGTCCTCATCCCCCCACCTGACCACTCTAGGCACGCAGGAAAGCTTGCCTCCAAGGCCATTGAGTGTGTCTACCTTGGCCACGCTCGCTCTGCCCCTGGTTACCTCTTCCTTCACCCGTCCTCAGGCCGCCTCCTACAGAGCCATGACGTGGTGTTTGATGAGAGCATCCCGTTCTATCATTCTGTTCCGCCTTCCGACCCACTTCCTCCTCTCTCCCGCCCCCTCACCTGGGCTGATGCTGTCATTCCCCCACTCCTTCCCCAGGCTCCCCTCCTTCCTCCAAATCCTGCTCCTCCCACTCCTCCTTCCTCAGGTGACATTTACGACCCAGCTGTCCCTGACTCCCCTGCTCACTCTGCCTCATCGCACCAGCAGCAGCAGCAGGAGATGCAGCAGCAGCAGCGGATGGAGCAGCAACCGCAGGAAGTGCAGCAACAGCAGCCGCAGCAGGAGGTGCAACATCAGCAGCAGTAGCCACAGCAGCAGCAACCACAGCAGCAACCTCATCGGCATCGCTGCACCACCTCTCCGTTCATCCTCCCACGCATCCACACTCGCTCTCATGGCCCACTCATAGGCCATCCATGGGGTTGGCCAACGCCACCCCCACCCTCCCTTCCCTTCATCGAGGACTCCCATGAGGAGCTCATTGGCGTTCACCAACAATCACCTTCCCGCACGCCTCTCTACCCGGGCTTCCTTGGCCTCCTCATCCTTGGCATCGCTACCGCTCCCACCATATTCACCCCATCCAACTTCCTTAAGGCCATCACCTGCCCCGATGCTGCCAAGTGGATCCAGGCTATCTTTGCTGAATGCGAGGCCTTCATCCGCAATGCCTCATTCATTGACATTGTCCCCTCTCCTGACGACGTCATTGTGGAAGGCATGTGGGTGTTCCGAGTGAAGCAGTTGCCAGGTGAGGAGCCGGTCTACAAGGCCCGGTATTGTGCCAAGGGCTTCACCCAAACCCATGGCATCGACTACTGGGAGACATTCTCTCCCACTACTAAGCTCCCAACTCTCCGTGCCATCCTCGACTATGCTGTTCGCATTGGCATGGAGATTGCCTCGATGTATATCTCCAACGCCTTCCTGCAAGGCGAGCTCCAGGAGCGGGTCCTCTTGCGGCGGCCTCCAGGCTTTCATGCAGCCTTCCCTGCCAACACAGTCTGGGAGCTGCGCCGCCCGGTTTATGGCCTCAAGCAGGCTCCTCGCGAGTGGCACAACAAGCTGGCCGCCACTCTGCAGTCCCTGGGGTTCCATGCCTCTCAGTCTGCTGCCAGCCTTTTCCTTCGCTCCTCTCCCACCCGCTTCTTCATCATAGTGTATGTCGACGACATGATCCTGTTCGCTGACGATGCTGCCGCCATGCAGCAAGTGAAGGGCGCCCTGCATGCGCGCCTCAAGGGCAAGGACCTGGGTGAGCTCAAGCACTATCTGGGCATGACCATCACCCGGGACCGCGCATCGCGCACCATTACCCTCTCTCAGTCCTTCTACATCACCCAAGTCTTGCAGCAATTCGACATGGCGCAGGCCAAGCCGGTTACCACTCCCCTGCAGACTGACCACCAGCTTGCCCCTCCTCCTGCTCCCTCCTCCTCTGACCATCCTTACGCTGAGCTCGTCGGTTCGCTGATGTACGCTATGATGTGGACCCGCCCCGACCTTGCCTACCCCATCAGCGTTCTTGCTCGGTTCGTCGGTACCGGTCGTCACACTGATCAGCACTGGGCTGCAGCGAAGCGGGTACTCCGCTACCTCCGTGGTACCAAGGACTATGTCCTCACCCTCGGAAGCTCTTCTCCTCCCCTCCTCTCTGGCTACAGTGACTCCTCCTAGGCTGACTCCCAGCCGGATCGCCGCTCCTCTCAAGGCTACGGCTTCACCCTTGGCAGCGGCCTCATGAGCTGGCGCTCCACTCGCTCCTCCTCCATCGCCCTCTCATCCTAAGAGGCTGAGCTCTATGCTTGCACCATGGCCGCTCTGGAGGCTCGATGGCTCACCTCCCTTCTTGCAGAGATCGGTGCTCCTCAGCGCTGTCCCACCCTCTAGTGCGACAACGCCAGCACCATCCATCTCACAAAGGACCCTGTCTTCCATGGCCGCTCCAAGCATATTGAACTCCGCTACTTCTTCGTTCGGGAGTTGGTCCAGCAAGGTCACTTGGTGGTCCGCAAGATCGCTGCAGAGGCCAACTTGGCCGACATCTTCACCAAGGCCCTCCCGAAGACCGCGCACTCTGCCCTTCTCCGCCTTCTCGGCCTCGGGCCCCGCCCCCCTTCCTGATTCTGGGGTTGTACATTATATATACACTAGCTTTGCATGCTATGGGGTTGTGTTAGAATATACTATGCTATGCTAGTTGTGTATATTGTGTTTACATCCCTAGTTGGGTGTACACCTATGTTGGGGTGTCAATCCAACCCAATTGTGGTTGGAGCCCCCAAACACAAGGACCACAATTGTGGGGGCACCACAAGTGGGTTGCCTAAGCCACTTGTGGTCCACCATACTTGGACCACCTCCCACTTGTGGTCAACCACATTTGGAAGGATCCTCCCTCCCTTGTGATTGGCCCTAACTCCCCCTTCCCTTCCAACCTTCCCTTCCTAGCTCATCTCTCACTTCCTATGTAATGCCTTTGCTTGATCAATAAACTTAACAATTCTGTTAGCATGGGTTTAGGATTTAGGGAAAAAGCGCACTCCTCGCTTTCATCTTCCGCATCATCGCCTAGCATGAGAGCCGAACCGGTCAAGGTTGAGTTGGCCGATCCTCCAAGCCGGTCATAGCTCAACCTATTGGGGGGCTGAGTCCTCCTTCTCCCCCTTCCTTCCTCCTCTGCTGCATGGACTTGAATGCTCTCATGGCGTTGTGGTAAATCTGGTCGGTTCCCGCGAGCACTTGTAGCACGAGGCGGAAGTGGCGGTGCACGCTCATCACCTTGCTGCACCTCCTCCACTTCCTCATCCCCATTCATTCAGCTCCAAGCGCAGCTCCACATGCTCCAAGCCGGTACTCTTCACCTCTCCAAGCCGCACACCAATCTTTGCTTGGTTCTCCGCCTTCCACTCCTTGTACGGTAAGTTCTCCATGAACTTGCAATCTCTGCTCACCAAAAACTTCTTGGTAAATGGGTCCCAAAGAAGCCATCCCTTGCTGTTTTGAGCCATGCCCAGGTGCACGGCCCATGTTGCCTTGGCATCAAGCTTGTTGTGCCGAAGTTTCTTAGGCACAAGTGCCATGCACATGCACCCGAACACCCGAAGCATATCCACCTTCGGCTTCCTTCCAATCCACTCCACATAGGGCACCCATTTGTCGTCTCCCACGTGAGTCAAGGCTCTGTTCTTGGTCACACAAGCATGCCGCACCGCATCCGGCCAAAAGTAATTGGGTAGACCGGCTTCAATGAGAAGTCCCCGAGCCGTCTCCGTGAGTGTCCGATTCGCACGCTCGGCGATGCCGTTCATTGCAGGAGAGTAGGGCATGGTAAGAGAGAGCCTTATGCCCTGCTTTTTCAGTTAAGTTGAGAAGTCCTTGCTCAGGAACTCTCCCCCACGGTCAGTGCGAATCGCCTTCACAAGCCGGTCTTGTTGCCGCTCCACCATCGGCAACCAATCGGTCTTCACCGTTTCAGCTACGTCACTCTTCTTCGGCAGCACATACACCCAAGTCATGCGAGTGTAGACGTCCACAATGGTGAGGAAGTACTCAAGTTGAGCAGCTCCAAGCTTCAAGGGGCCCACCACATCCATCACCACCTCATCAAGTGGTGCCTTTGCCGTTGTCTCCGAGCGATGGAACGGGTAGCGGGTGAACTTGGCTTGCATGCATATTGGACAGCCAAGCACCTCATAGGGCTCCCCCTTGACACGTATCCCACTGACCATCTCTTGCTTAACTATCTGCTGCAAAATGGGCAATGCCACATGCCCCATTCGCCGATGCAAGGTCAGCCAATCACACTCTCCCGTAGCGGAAGTCGGGTTGGAGAAAGCGGCACTCGCAATTGTGCCCCACAAGCTCTCTCCTTTCTCCTTCGCCGCTGCTGCTTTGTTGATCTTAGCCTTCTCCTCCTCATTTCCACCACCTTTGGCTGCTGCACCATTCTCCTTGGGTTCACACGCCTTGCTGGTCTCTCCAAGGTTGCACTCCTTCGAGTCACTCTTGGTGTCACTTTGCTTTCCGTGATCACCGCCACCAACCGCTTCACGCTTGGTGCTGACGCTTGCTGCCACTTGCCTCTCTTTAGGCATGGGGACCACTGGAATTTGCCACATCTCATTGTAGATGTCCCTGTCCTCATGAAGGTCCCAAAGCTTCCGCTCACCAAGCCTTGCGGTATAGGTTTTGGATCCCTTGGAAGATGTGTCCATGCCGGCCTTTTGCAAACGCCGAACGAAAATCAGGTTGGCTGCTAGGTTGGGCACCAAAAGCACGTTCTTGAGGCCCACCATCTTCCCATCAGCACCCTTGAACATGGCCTTGCCCATGCCCTTCATCTCTGCTCGCTGCCCCAAAGCCGATGTAACATGCTTGACCGGCGACGGTTCGAGTTCGGTGAGCAAGTCCGCACGAGGTGTCATGCTATAGGTGGCGCCGCTATCGATCACCCAAAAGTCCAGAGAGTGAAGGGTGACCTTTCCCACAGTAGCTGGCTCCTCAAAGCCTTCCACACCTCCTGCTGCAGCTGCCGCTTGCGTGGAGACAAAGAAGAATTGGCCCGGGTATCGATCTTCACTCGAGTCCTTGTCGTAGTCTCCACCTTTCATGCTTGCCGCTTCGCTTCCACGACCACCACGGCCTCCACGACCTCTGCCTCTTCCTCCCCTTGCTCCTCTGCCCTCTTGGCCTTGAGAAGGGGTCCATCTATCAGGCAATCTGTAGCAATCTCTCCACATGTGGCCGGTCTTGTGGCAAAAGTGGCATTCACCATCAAATCGACCGCGCCCACGCCCGTAGCCATTGTTGTTGTTGTTGCTGCCATATCCTCCATTACCACGGCCTCTATTGAAGTAGCTGCTGCCAAATCTTCCTCCTCGCCCTCTGCCCCTTCCACGGCCGTGCCCACGGCCCATGCTTGCAACTCCGGCACCATCGGGACCCGCCAATTCGCGACGGCAGAAATCTTCTTGTAAGATTTCCCGCTTCACATCTTCGAGTGAGAGACGGGGCAGATCTCGATTTAGGTTGATGATGAGCGAGGACCATGAGTTCATAAGTAAGGCCAGTAGCTTGGTCTTCTTTTGAAGGTCACTGTAGTTCAGATCAGCTCCTTCGAGCCGTGTCAACAAGTCGAAGAATTTCTGCACTCCTTCCTCCACCGATTCGCTTTCGTCAATTCGAAGTGCCGCCATTTGCCGCTCCAAAACCACAGCCACCGCCGCTGTTGCAGGAGCGTGTACACACTGGAGAGCAGCCCATGCCTTTGGTCCCTTTGCTGGTTTACGGTGAAATGGCTTGATGTGACGGATTTGGCTGCTCCCCAACGCTTGCCCAAATAGAAGATAGCCTTGTGCGCTCTTCCGCACCCACGGGCTCTTCTCCGGGTCGTTCTCGGGGCGCTTCTCCGTTCCTTCCATCACCTCCATCAGATCATAGTGGTCAAAGATGTTCTCCATCTTGAAGGACCACTCAGCAAAGTTGTCACCGTTGAACTTGTCACGGCCAACACTCTAGGCTCATCCCTAGAGGGCCCAAGGCTAGGTTGCACCGGAGCAACGGGTGGATCTTGGTGTTGACCTTGTGCTTGGGCGTCTTCTCTGCCTCCAGCACCTCTGCCACACCCCCTTCCTCAGGTCTAGGCATGGTCGAGACGGCTCCAAGGGGCTCTGATACCACTTGTTATAATCACAATAGGCTCAGATGTGCCTAAAATGAGAGATAGAGAGCATAGTCGGATTTCCGTCAGACGGCTTCAAATATTTTATAGCGATCTGATCTGTGTCTCAAACAGTGATCTGTAAATTGGATCTAGAGCACGTTGCTGTTGCCTATCAGCAGCAGTTTGAATCATGAAATTCCATGAAGATTTGACGACGCTATGATGGTTTGACTGGCAGGAGGTATAGCAGCCACTATAGTCTTGGAAGTACAAACTTAGCAAGAAGAATTCGAGATGGATATGGTTCCCAGCCTCTACATACCCCAAGAGCCGAGGTCCAGGTTGGTGGTACACCACCACAGAGTCCCCAACCAAGAAGAGTCTCGAAACAAACCCTCCAAGGGGCTACACCAAGTGAAATATAACACTACACGAAGTAGCGTTACTATTTTCACTATTTAATATTTATCCGTGTCCCTTGGGCTTGAAATCTTAAGCTCTTGGTCTTGGTTCTGCAAGATAAATTCTTTTTGAGTTGATGGGGGCTTTCTGTACACACCTGCGACGCGATCGACACTTCACACTCGACAAAATAGAAAAAAACACATGCGATACGCAAACGACGACTTGACATGCGACTTGTAAAAACTCGCTAATGTCTTGACCGACACAAACCACATTGTGATACACCATTCAAACACACACACAAGCATTAGATAGCAATGACATAGACTCAGAAATCATTCCATGCCATGCATGCACACACACAAACAAGGACGACAAGCCGAGTGCAAGCTATAGGGTTGCACCAACAGGTACAGACAGCGTACCGCTCGTGACCAGAGAACGTAGTGGTGATGCCAAGGTCCTGGAGGCAGCCGACACCAATTAGGTTCCTAGAGAATGAGGGGATGTGCAGACCTGTGAGAGAGCTCGAAGGGACCCCCGGACAGGGGAGGGTGGTGGAACCGTGGGCGACGACCGGGCCGGAGGAGGGGTCAGCAAGAAAAACTGCAGCAGGAACAGGAAGCGGCGTCAACAGGGGTCACGGTCATCAGAGGAGGGGTCAGCAGGGAGGGGAGTAGGTGCAGGGGGACGGGGGAGCAAGCCATCAGCATGGACAACCAGAGAGTGGCCATCCTGGCGCTGACCTGTAAGCTGGCGGCGAAGATCGGAGAGCCAGGCGGCGAAGTCAACCGCGTGGCCCTCAGCGTCCAGGCGGAGCACAAAGTCAGCCATCGTGCAGGGTCAGCGGCACAGCTCCTCAGCGACACAGCGGCACAGCAGCACAGCTCCTCAGCGGCACAGGAGCACAGCGGCGCGGGGACACGGCGGCAGCACTCTCCAGTAGGGCAGCAGCTAGGCGTCCCAGCGCAGGCAAGCAGAAGACACAGGGCCCGAGAGGACACGGCAGGCCGAGCAGGGGAGGCGGGCAGGTGCTCTGGGGCCGGGCTGGTGCTGGGAGGGGCCAGGCTGGTGCTGCTGGGGCCGGTCGGGCACGAGGAGGGGCCGGGCAGCGCTGAGGAGAGGCCGGGCGGCGCTAGGAAGGGGCCGGGCGGCACTAGGAGGAGGCCGGGCGGCACTAGGAGGAGGCCGAGCGGCACTAGGAGGAGGCCAGGCGGGCGAGCGCTAACAGCAGGCGCGACAGGGGCCAGCGGGCGCGACGGGGCCTAAGGGGCGCGACGGGGCCCAGCGGGCACGACGGGGCCCAGGGGGGGCGCGACGGGGCCGAGGAGGCGCGACGGGGACCAGCGGGCACGACGGGGCCCAAGGGGGCCGCGACGGGGCCTAACGGGCGCGACGGGGCCCAGGGGGGGCGCGACGGGGCCTAGCAGGCGCGACGGGGCCTAGGAAGCGCGAAGGGGCCCAGCGGGCGCGACGGGGCCTAGGAGGGGCGCGACGGGGCCGAACGGGCGCGACGGGGCCCAGAGGGGGGGACGCGACGGGGCTTAGGAGGCGCGACGATGCCTAGGAGGCACGACGGGGCTCAGCGGGCTCGACGGGGCCCATGGGGGGCGCGACGGGGCCTAGGAGGCGCAACGGGGCCCAGCGGGGGCGCGTTAGGGCCTAGGGGTCGCGACGGGACCCAGCGGGCGCGACGGGGCCTAGGGGGAGCGCGACGGGGCCTAGGAGGCGCGACGGGGCCCAGCGGGCACGACGGGGCCCAGGGGGGGCGCGACGGGGCCTAACGAGCGCGACGGGGCCCAGGGGGGGCGCGACGAGGCCTAGGGGGCGCGACGGGGCCTAGGAGGCGCGACGGGCGGAAGCGGTAGGCGGGGGGATCCTAACCTAAGCGTGATACCATGTTAACGTAGAAATGAATGATTACTAGAGGTGGAAACCTAGAACAAATACTAGTTGGTTGTACTCACTAGAAGCATACCTCAGTCTAGCCTATAACTTCTACATAGATAATATGTATAAGTTGACAGGAGGGACCTAACCTACTACGATACCATATGAGAATGAGTAAGTGACTAGAATAGAATGATACAGGGGTATATGAACTAGAGTGTTGTACTCTCTAAGGCACAAACCAGTGTAGTCTACAGTAACGACCTAACTTACATTTGACAAGACTAGCTCTGGTGTTCCTATATCTTGGCTTGCCATTCCTTGTATTCAACACTTCATTATTCATTTTCGCGCTACTCTGCTTGTTCATTCATAACATATAGAAACAGATGTAACCTTCTTAGATGTTCGCTGGGTTACTGTGAAATTGTGGCGAAATCCTAGGACGGGTTGGGTGCCCCACCACACCCCGCCACAATCGATCCACTTGTATGGGGGAGTGACCATCCTCGCTCTGCTCCCCGCTCCTCCTCCTCTGCGAGCCGCTGCGCATCTACCATGACCTGCTTTCCGCGCTCCACCATTTCCTGCTTCTGTATGCTCGCATGCGTGCTGGCTCTAGCTTCGCCCCACCCGACTCCGCGGTTTCTGCCGCCCCGCCTCTCATCCGCGCGCCCTCGCCACGCTCACCTGCCGCCCATCCGCCGCGAGGTACGGCGCATCACCGCAACGGCGACTTACCCCGACAGCGCCGTGGGACCCCTCTGCGCGGACGCCTCGCCTCCTCCACGGCCGCGCCGCATCCGCCACGCGCTGCTGCCCGTCTCCTCCGCCAACGGCTCCCGTGCCTCCGCCTCCGCGGCATGGCGGCGGCAGCGACTGCTGGTGGGCGAGCAGGCGCTGCCCGCTTGCAAGTCAATCCGCACTGCGCCTCTCCTGTTCCCCCGCCCCCCCATCTCGCCCGCCCCCTCCTCCCAGGCTCTTGGAACCCCCCCAGCCTCGCCCTCACCCCATCACGCACGCCCCCTCCCCCACTCCCCCCCGCCGACAGCTCCCTGCACGCGGGGCGCGGCAGCACGAGCGCGGCAGTGAGCGCGGCGAGCGAGCCGTGGAACCGCGCGGGCACGTGCAGCAGCGGGTCGAGGGGCGGCGGCGGCTGGCGGGGCTGTGGCGGGGGAGGAGGTGGCGGCGACCGCGGAGGAAGGCGTGGGAGCGACGGCTGAAGCAGCAGAAGCCGTGGGTGCGCGATGCACGGCGGTACCTGCACACCGGGGATAGCACGGGCAGCAGCACACTCACCACATCGCTGGCCTATGAGAACCTGACACGCGTCAACTTGAACCCGTTTGACAAGCTGCACCCCAGGAAGGGCAGGAGGGACGTGCTGCTGGGGTGCCGCGGGGCTCCTTGCCCGCGCATGCAGCGCTGCCACCACGGCAACGCGCTGCCGCCGCTGTCCCAGGGTGCGGTGGTGCGCAGCTGCTACGATCCCGGCGTGGGCGAGGAGGCAGCGCGCGCAGTGGAGGCGCCGGTGAACTGCCCGCGCATCAGGGCGGCGGGGGGAGCGACGCGGTTCGACCCGGCGTGCTCGCATGCTGAGGACGACCTGGCGGTGGGGCCGTGGGGCAGCCAGGTGGTGGTGCTGGAGAACGTGTGGGTCAACGCCCGCGGGCAGGCCTTCAACCACCACCTCTACTTCGACCGAGGGGGGTGCGGCAGCGACCATGAGGTGCGGCGCTGCTGCGCTCACGTGCCCCACGCACACCCTCATGCACTCGTTCCTCTTCTCACCCCCCGCACTCGCCCCTGCGTGCCCTGTGGTCTGTGGCCCCCAGTTCGTGCACGCGGCGGGCACGGCGGTGCGCGAGTACAGCGCGGTGGTGAACCTGGCGCACTGGAACACGTGGCAGTTCTACCACGGGCTCGTGGAGCTGGTGCCGCTCTTCCTCGCCCTGCACGCGCTGCGCCATAACATCAAAGGCCTGCCCGTCGCCTTGCAGCTGCTGCAGGTGATGCTGCCGCCCACGCCTGCTGACATGCGCACAGAGGCGTGGATGCATGCATGCCAGCGCACACTCTTGCGCTGTAGGCTTCCCCATGCAGAGATGTCAGGGGGGCTCGGTAGTGCCTTTGCGTTGTGGAGGTGCGCCTCACTCATCCACCCCCTGCCCTCTACCTCTACCAATCCCACGGTGCCGCTCTCGGCCCTGCATGCCACCCACCCCCTGCATGGCACCTCCTACGTGCGCCGTAAGCGCGCGCGCGCGCGCGTGTGTGTGTGTGTGTGTGTGTGTGTGTGTGTAGGCAGGTGGAGTTCTTTGAGCAGGTGGGGTCGTTCGTGCTGGGGCTGGACGCCATTGATCTCAACGCCAGGGTCATTCCCAACGACCAACTCTTCTTCGCCAGGCGCCTCTACCAGGTGCGCCTCTACCAGGTGTGCCCACAGTGTGTATGCGACTTTTGCTTGTTTAGGTGGACATTTTCCTCATGCGCATCCTCACTACCCCGTGCACTGGACTCGTCGCCCACCCTTGTATTGCCACTCACCTCACCCTTCCCTCCGTTGATCTTCCTCACATTCCCAACCTCACTCACCGATCGCCGCATCTCTGTGCGCCCTCTAAACAGCCCCCATGGCTATCTTGCATGCCGCTTTACTCCACTCTCGTCTGCTCATCGTTACCTTTCACTACTTTTCCCGCCATGCCCGCTCTTGCCCCTGCCATGCCCGCTCATGCCCCTGGCATGCCCGTTCATGCTCCTTCCCTCCTTCTCGTCTTCCCTCCCTGTTGCCACTCTATTCTCTTGCTGCGAGCCCCATGTCTCGCGGCTGCCACCACACATCTCCCCTTCGCCGGGACTCTCCCCCCGCTCTCCCCTCCCCCGCCAGCCTGTGTACGCATGGTGTGGCCGCCCCTCGCCCTCCCTGTGGCACCGCCTGCGCCACAACCACCTGCTGCCGCCTAACGGCCTCCCCATGCTGCGCCCTGATTGGTCCGTGGCCCGCCGGGCACCGTTCTCACTGTCACAAGCGGGCGCCTCCCCCCCGGGCGACTGGGTTGTGGTGGTGGCACGGCGAGTGGCGTCGCGAGCGCTGGAGGGGCACGATGCCCTGGTGCAGGGGGTGAGGGCCATGGTGGGGGGCGGGCAAAGGGGGGAGGAGGGGGAGAACAGGGAGCGAGTGGTGGAGTTTGATGGGTCACTGGATATCAGTGCCGGTGAGTGCAAAGGCATATTCACGTTGGAAGGCAGTCCAGTGAGACAATCCTGCCCCCAACCTTACATTTCCCTCCCCCCTGATCGCTGAAGTGCACATACCTGTCGATTCTTTCTCACCCCTCATGTGCACCTCATTTTGTGCCTCCTACTGACGCGCGGTGCTTTCTCAACTGCCGTCTGCCTCACCACGCTGCACAGCACAGTGTCTGCTTCACCTCATGCCAACCCATCCCCCTTGTCCCCACTTTTCTTCGTCCATTTCTCTCAATTGTGCCAGCCTAGTGAGTGACTATTTCTAGTGCTGACATTTTCAGCTTCCCTGTCGCCACGCCCCTTCACATGCGGTGCCCTTTGAGCCACAGCCCGCCCCATCTTCCGCCGAACACTGCTGTTCATCGGGGTGCACGGGGCGGCGCTGACGAACCTCATCTTCATGCAACCTAATGCCACAGTGGTGGAGCTGCGGCCGAGAGGCATGGCGAATGCGTGCTACCACCACCTGTGTGGAGCGTGCGGCGTGCAGTACTACCTGGTGCTGTGCGAGGGTGGCAAGGACACCCATACAACGTGTGACATGGATCAGGTGATAGGCGCCGTTGAGGAAGCGTGGAGGGGAGTGGGAGACAGCTTTGGCCTTTGATCAACTCATGCTGCCATACCCTTCCTGTTTCACCTCGAGATCTGTGTGGGCACCTTTTTGGGTTGCGGAGCAAACCTTTCCGATCGATTTCGAGAGTGTTAGTTTTTTTTTTTTTTTTTTTTTCCATCTTTTATTACCGTATTTAACAAAAAAGGCAAGTTGAATAAACTTTGGATGATACTGCATGTCGTGCCAGGATTGTGTTGGTGATGATAGTGTTAGAGCGTATTCCTAACAGCCTCGCGTGCTATTCCTGCGCACATCTTCCCAAGCAACCACTTCCCAGACTCGCGTGCTTCAGTGTCGCAAATTTTGTCGCTAAATGTTTCAGTGCGGTTCCGCGTATCAAGATGAGTAGTTGAGTAGAATAGAAGGATACAGGGATATACAGACGGGAAAATACATCGGCGCTCACTATTAGGGGCCTCGATAACATGTACGGTCACTGACACGATATAAACAATCAGAATTAGCGAGTTCGCAACATGTTTCATCAGTCGGGTTCCACCATTAGTCAGAAACTACAGGAAAAAAGCTCCACGAATGGTCAGTAGTGTTGTGATATAATTGATACTTAGCATTTATGTAAGACGATTAGTTGTAGATAGTGTCGAATCTTACTGTAGAACATAAGTCCGTAGGATGACGTCAGCAAATAGCGCTCGTCATAGGATTGTCGTTTCAGTCACGCGAACAGTCGCACCTTTTCATTATCGTTTAGGGCGCATAGCGCGATAGTGACGAACAAGTACATTAGCGAATATGTACTTTTCCTAGAACTATAAATCCTTGTTAGGACTTTTCATTATTAACTTTGATTACCCACAAGTTCACATATTCAGGTTATTCAATTTTTGACTATTATCCTTTACAAGACTTCCGCTGTCTTACTAGTCTATCGTTCCAGTAAAGATCCTGGACCAACACTTGAGGATTTCCAAGTGTTCGTGTTTGCAGTTTTATACTTAGTCTTTTACAACATTGGACAAGTTATTTCATGGTATCAGAGCTATCTGGAATTAAGACTACTGTCAACAATGACTGGTTCATCACCAGCACCGTCTGCTGGATCAACTTCCGGAACTACTGGAGTACATGTCTCCACTACCGCCACTTGTCTCTCAGCCTCTGGGCCGTTTCCACCAGCCTATGCTAATATCGGTATGCAACAGCAGAATCCGCCTTCTGTTAATACTCCAGGTGTTTCTTCGACTGCACCTCCAGTGCAACAACAACAATCACAGACAACAGCACAGCAGCAAGCGTCAGTACAGCCACCAGTTTCAACGCAATCAATATCGTCAGCGTTCAGTGGAATGAGCCTTGACGGCTCAAGTTATATGCGTGGAGTCACAGCTCCAAGTACTAGTTCGTTCACTTCTTACCTTCTGTACAGCAGCCGCAGTCGCAGCAGTTTCAGCATCCTTTCTACATTTTCGGTCGTTCGCCTGCTCAGCAAGAGCAACAACAGCAGTATCATCAGCAGCAACAGCAACAACAGCAACAGGAACAACAGCAACAGCCGGGTATTATTTTTCAGCCTCCAAATTTACTTAACAGCACACTGATAAAAACCACTATACCTTTTAACGGAGTCGACTTCTACTTTTGGAGCTTTGAGTTTGAGCTTCTGGCGCAGTCCGCTGGGCTGTGGCCGTTCTTCACTGGCGAGTTCACGTATCCTGTCGTGGGAACACAACTGGAGCAGCAGAGTTTCTTGCATGCATCTCTCGGGGCTTATACAGTTCTTGTTCGAAACTTGTCGCTGAAGGAGCAGCTCGGCGTCCGATCATTTCACTCAAGCTTTACACCAGCCGAAACTGCTTGGAATCATCTGAAGGGGGTATACATGGCAAAGGATACAATAACAGTGAGTAAAATACTTTCGCAGCTGACAAGTGTGCAGATGATGACATACGAAAACGTCATGGACTACGTTAATCGCGTCCGTACACTGCGAGATCAACTGGAGAAGAGTGGAGGATACTTACCTCGTGAGATGTATCTCACGGTACTTCTGGCTGGTCTTGGACCCGAATGGCGACAGACACGCGCCTTCCTGCGAATGAACCCGAACCTTTCCGAAGCCGAAATCTCTTCATATCTTCAAGCAGAGCAGCAAGATCTTGACCTGCAGTCACAACACAATCAGAAGAAAGGGGTTCCTTTAAGTTTTTACTCCAATCCAGAACTACAGCACCGACATCCTCCAAAATATCCATTCTATCATTTTTGTAAGAAACCAGGCCATACTTACCAAAATTGCCGCAGTCGACATCAAAACCGATGCAGCACTTCACATCCTTATCATCGCTCGCAGCAGTTACCAAAGCCACCTCAGTCCGCGCAGCAGTCGACGACCCAGCAGCAGCAGATGCCGAAACCGCCGCAGAATCCATCGACGTCGCCGCGTCGCCCGCCGGTCTTCGCATCTGCCACATCAGGAAAAGGGGTTTTTGGATGTGTTACAACAGTTGATGTTTCAGAAACAGATTTCGAGACACGACTGGAAGAAACCACAAGTGCTGAAGGCATTCCCTTACCTCAAGTTTACGCTAACCTTGCTCGAATAATTGCAGGATTGAATACTTGGTATCTCGACAGCTGCTGCGGTTGGCACATGTGCTCCGCAGAAACAAGTTTCATCACCAACCAACGTCCACTTCGTCGTCCGATACCTGTCACAGTCGCAAACGGACAAACTATTATGGCACGTTCTGTTGGGAGTGTAATGCTCGAATCTATCGACACGGGATACTCACTACATGTTACCAATGTTCTTATCGTCGCTGGCCTTGGCTTCAATCTCCTTTCCACTGCTCAGCTCCTGTCGCACAAGATCCGCACACAGGGCAATTGTGAAACAATGGATCATGAGCTGCGGCATAGTTCAACGAATACTTATCTTGGTCGTGCCGCCACTCAACATGGCGTGTCCGTTCTTCAGTTCGCAGCACATGGAACTTCTGGAGATTCTGAACGCGTACTTGCACTTGGTCCCAGGGATCACCCTGAAGAAACAGATTATTAGCAAGTGGATATTGATTTTCGAGCAACTACTGTACCAACATCTTCTCGAACTGCAGCCGTCATACTTACCGCGTTGGATACCTGGGAGTTCAACACAGCCGATGAAGGCGCCAACACTTGGCGAACCTTTTATACTACTCGCAAGGCTCTTCAAGGAACTCCAGCTCCACTATGGGGGGAAATTAGTGGACTAGCAGCTGATGAACCTGACATCGTTGAAGAAGTCGAAAAAGAAGCAGTCGCCGAGCAGCCGTGTCCAACAGTAGCTGTCACCGAAACACCTGCCACGACATCAACAGAAGCAGTATCAGAAGTTGCAATCGCAACTTCAGCAGCACCTTCAAATGTCACTTACATGTTTCGTCGAAGGAGAGAGTGACAAGTCACCAGCGCTTTCTCGTTTCATTATTTCTTCTTTTTATACAAACTCCGATTTCTACCTGCGGTCATCAGGACAAAAAGCCACAGAAGATATCTGGCATCAGCGGTTAGTGTTGGTGCAACCCGATGGCTTGCACTCGGCTTGTCGTCCTTGCTTGTGTGTGTGCATGCATGGCATGGAATGAATTGTGAGTCTATGTTATTGCTATCCAGTGCTTGTGTGTGTGTTTGAATGGTGTATCACAATGTGGTTTGTGTCGGTCAAGACATTAGCGAGTTTTTACAACTCACATGTCAAGTCGTCGTTTGCGTATCGCATGTGTTATTTCTATTTTGTGGAGTGTGAAGTGTCCATCGTGTCGCAGGTGTGTGCAGCAAGCCCCCATCAACTCAAGAAGAATTTATCTTGCAGAACCAAGACCAAGAGCTCAAGATTTCAAGCCCAAGGGACGCGGATAAATATTAAATAGTGAAAATAGTAACGTTACTTCGTGTAGTGTTACATTTCACTTGGTGTAGCCCCTTGGAGGGTTGGTTTCGAGACTCTTCATGGTTGGGGACTCTGTGGTGGTGTACCACCAACCTGGACCTCGGCTCTTGGGGTATGTAGAGGTTGGGAACCATCTCCCTCTCGAACTCTTCTTGCTAAGTTTGTACTCCTAAGACTATAGTGGCTACTGTACCTCCTGCCAGTCAAACCACCATAGCGTCGTCAAATCTTCATGGAATTTTATGATTCAACTTGCTGCTGATAGAAGACAACAACGCGCTCCAGATCCAACTTACAGATCACAGTTTGATTCAGCGACCAGATCGTTATCAATATTTGAAGCCGTCTGACGGAAATCCGACTGTGCTCTCTATCTCTCAATATAGGCACATCTAAGCCTATTGTGACTATAACAGTTAGGACATCCATCACAAGGAATACTTAATCATTCAATCCGAGCAGCAGTTCTTGATAAGAACAGTCTACTTTTACCTGACGGCATGGAGATGAAGCCGCAGTCTCGGCAGACGGTTTGCACCACGTGTCCGGTTGCCAACCTTACTCACGATCCATTTCCAAGTCATTTTCCTGGTTCTATTCGTTATAGACTGATGCAGAAAGTCTACAGCAACATACTAAACTTACCTGAAGCCGGACCTAAAGACGAGCAGTACGTGATAACTTTCATCGAAGCATCTACACGCTATGTCTGGATAGCAAACCTTCCTGCTCGTTATCTCGCTCACTCCGTCTTCGTCGCATGGCTCGCCGTCGCTGAACGAGAGTCTGGCGTGAAACTGCAAGAATTCCAGAGCGATGGTGCAGGGGAGTACACCAGCAACACTTTCACAGAATACCTTCAGACACTTGGCATCAAACGGAAGCAGTCCCTGCCGCATGCACACCAACAGATGGGGGTAGCAGAAAGGATGAACAGGACTCTGCAGGAGAAGATGCGTGCTCTACTGACGCAGGCAGCCCTTCCACCGCGTTTTTGGCCGTATGCGATGGACCACGCCGTGCTGTTACACAATCTTCTTTCTTCAACGTCCCTGCCCGAGTTTTCCTCTCCGCACCTGCAGTGGACACGTACAGTTGGAAGCACCAAACTTTTACGAGTTCTCGGGTGTGTCATGCAGTTTCGTCCTCCAATTGCAGCACTTGGCAAATTCTCAGAAAGGGCAAAATGGGGGGGTACATCTCGGCATCGAAAAACAGTATCATGCGTGGAAGATTTTGGATCTTCGCTCAAACCAAATCGTCCCTTCACGTGATTGTCTCTTTTACGAACGACTCACCTTACCCGTTTTTCGTGCCCACCAGGCAGCAGCTGCCA